AAAGCCTTCTCAAGCCCAGCTCCCAGTAGGCTTTTAAATTGCCACCCCTGCCACTCATCTGAGTGCAAAACTTCTGCAAAAGTAACTAACATATTACATCTTAGTTAGGCATATATCTTAGTTAGGCATGCACAAATGTATTTGTACAAGTACACATTCCTTTATTTTGAAAATCTGAACCTATATATGCTGCCTAATTCTCTCTATTTGCACATAACCTTAACAAAAGTGTATTTTTTAAATTCCCAGTATTATTTCTAATTAGTTCAACAAACCGACTTCCGAAAATTTGTTTTTAATGTTCATATTCAAGGGGTGAAATAAACCTACCTTTTTTTATTTGACAAATCCAGTTTTCATACCGTCTACAGTCTACCTTATGCCATTTATTGTGTTGTTCATTAATAGTTCCACAGTATTTGCTTTCATCCTGAACACTTGATGATTCAAACCAGCCTGTGTAGGTAACCTATGTAGGAAAGTAATTTTGTTACTATTTTCATCTTAATGAGGGACACTGTCCTCTGCATTGAAGAAATGGAGATTCAGATTAAGTCTCTCTCTCCATGGGAGAGCTCTGCTTTCCCATGGAAAGTATAATTTGATAGAAGAGATGTTTGCAAAGCTACCGACCTAAACTGAATTGAGCTCTTAAAGGAAAAGTGAATACATATATATGCTAAAATAAGAAAAGAATGGCTTGCAGTCCCTACCTACATAAACACATGCTTAAATTTATTACTCTGTGGACTCATCTACATGATTAGGGACAGACATTCAAAAAGACTGAGCCTGAATTGATTCCATCTTTGCAGGTTAGTTTAACCTGGCTAGGCTGAACCGGTTGCAACCTGGACAGATTCTCTCTGGACTGAGGAAATTCAGGCACATGGCTGCAGTGGCTAAGGCTAGAAGTTGGGGGGCACTAGAGCAGCCATCCCTTCCCTTCTCCAGGGAGCTGAGCTAAGGGGGACATGGCCAGGCCCTGGCAGGGCTCTCTCATTAGGAATGTCTACTTGCATGGTCCCAGGCTTTTCCCCGCTGGTTGCTCGAGGGGTGGGAGTGTTGTCAGCTCCCAGCCCTGGGCTAGCACTCTGAGGCAAGCTGGGGTGTGCAAAGCATGCATCTGTTAACGATACAGAGCTTTTTAATCTCCCTCCATGCTTTGTCATACTGTCTGCAGCAAACTGACGGGCAAGCAAGCCAGCCAAAAGGTGATAAGAGTTTTTATCACCCAGTTAGCAAAACAGTGGCCTCTCCTGTTAGTTCAAACTTCTTAAACAGTTTACTGGCTGATCTGTTGTTTAGCTCCAAAAGCCCTGTTCTGTCTGCCTGAAAGTGGGAAGAGAGAGACACACAAATGCCTCTGGGCATTAGCTAGCACACTACATGCCTAGGGTCCCTGGCGCTGGGGTCCATGCTGTGGGAAATGAGAAGGAGGAGGGGATTTCCTGCTTGATCTGTGATGGGGGGTAGGGCACAAGGAAACCAGCAGACCCTGCTGTGCCTGCAAATCTCTGCTGGAGCTGCAAATCTCAGCCAGGAACCGGAGGGGAGGGGCCAGCCCTGCTGAGAAGCAGAGAGCCCCGCCCAGCCCAGAGAGCATGCTGGGATGCTGGAGGACTCTGATTTAACTTAAACCAGCAAAGGGGTCTGGGAACAACATTGCATAAACCTGTTTAACCCAAATCAGTTAAGTCGGATTACTACATTAAACCAGATTTATCTCAAACCAGTTTCAGACAATTTCAAACTGATTTATGTGCACTGAACATCTGTTCTGTTACAGGTTTAAGCCAGTTTCTGATCACTTAAACCAGTTTATGTGTAATGCCTGTCCCTAGCCCATGAGACGTTACTGTGCATTTATTTAGTACTTGTAAAAACAAATACTAAATAAATGCACAGTAACCCAGGGTAGCTCCAGCAAATGCCTGTTTTATGACAACACTGTGCAGTAGCCTAACATTACTGCACAGTAGCATTGCTCTTGGGTTTTTGCCACATGATGCTACTGCACAGTAGTATTGGGCTACTGAGCAGTCAGCATCTCATGTAGACCTGGCCATGAATAACCTCAATGAGCACATCCAGACTTGCATGGACGTTTGGTTTCTCAGGGACAAGCAGCAGCAGCACACCTGGCACCACAGCTACTTGTCCTCAGGGAATGCCCATGCCACAAGCACTTTGGTGTGCAGCAAGTTACCCCAGGAGTGGTAGGGGAGGCTGAGACCAGCACTGTGCTGGGCCCAGCAGCCTTACCTGGAGTCTTGGGGGCCTCCTGGGGCTGCAGCCATGGCAATCCTGCTGGGCAGAATCTAATCGGAAACTGCAGCACACTGCTCCATTTTTTTTTCCCACAGTTTTTTTCAACCCCTGGATATACAGGGGTAAAAAAAAAAACACAGGAAAAAAAAACCAGAGCAGCATGTGCTCAAGCAACATGCCCTTGCAGTGCAAAGAACACCAGATTACGTGGTATGTGGTGCTGCAAACATGTTTGTGGCACCACATAATTCATGACCGCCTTCAACTCGATGTGCCCGAAATGTTCAAATGAGTCAGAAGTCAATGCAATACTCCTAAGATTATTTTGGGGAGAGCTACATATAAAGCTAATTAATAAATGTAAGTGATTGTACAACTGGAGTCTAAGAGGGGAGAGCAGGAAAAGATTTAGACATGAGGAGAAAAGAAATAGGATCCTGAAGAAAAAGATTTTTTGTAAAATGCTAAAGGTTCATCCACATTTCAACAGCAGAGTGCTCTAGCCAGGATGACCCTGCCAACCTGTGCCAACTTGCACTAACTGATATCCTCCATATGTGGAAGTATACCAGAGAGGATGCTCTGAAGCCATCCCCAGCAGATGTTCCCAAGGATATCAGAAATATCATGAGCAGCCAAAGAGATGCACTGGAAGGTATTTATTGGCATGATTCCAGAACTGGAACATGCCTGAAGGCACAGGTAAGCAAGTATGCTGAGGGGCATACTTGGGTGCTCCTGCCACAGTGTAGGGATGATAAATTACTTACAGGAGAGCCATCACTCCAGGCAAGTCCTTCCAAGAAAAATATACCGATCCATAAAAAAGTATTTTCAAAAGTATTAATATCCCTGAGATACAAAACAAGAAAGAAAGAGTACATGAATAGAGGCATGTAGGATGTATCGCTGGAGTTTTAGAATATAGATTCCAAGTTGTTGAAAAAATCCTGTGGCCATACAGTACTTCAGCAGGTACAATAGTAGGTGATTAATGCAAATGCCAAACGGTAAAACAATGCAGGGAGCAAGTTTTCTGAAACACTGCCTCCTGGAGAAAAGCACAGATTAGTTTAACCTGCTTTAAGACACTTCACACAACAAAGGGATGGATAACATAACACTATTTTTACAAAATGCCTGTTAATACCCTAACTATGGGCTTATTTAAAAGAAATCACTAAGAATATTTCCACATTTGATGCAAACCATCTGTTTCAGGAAGGTTATACAGGAATTTCTAATTCTCATTTAATATCTTCTCAACTGTAGTAAAATTAATATACTTTGGGTACTTACCTTAATGAACTCTGTATGACAATATATTCCTCTTTACTGTGAATGCTGGCCAGGTCTCCACCCATTTCTCTACAAAAATCCCGAGCTTTAAGCCACATTTTTTGTTGTTCATAGTCTCTGAGAAAAACCTAACAAGATTGAGTTTATGAAGCTAATGAATTTATGCATATATAATATATACATATATAGTATATGCATATATTATAATGCATATATCATTACAATAAGGTACACTATGGCAATAAAATAAAAACAGCACCCCTTTCCCTCAAAAACAGTGATTTTAGAACAAAAATTAGTATGGATGAGAAACAAGCTGAAGTGACAAGAACCTGAGTATGTTGATTAGGATATTCTAAATCTTGAGAGAAGTTTGTAGAGCAGTTAAGCACAGAGTTAACAGAAATAATAAGGGGATAACTTGAAAGTTTGAAGAAAATAGAACCGTGAAGAAAATGATCTCTGGCTGTGTTTGCTTCTTTTTAGAGGTGGGGGGAGACAGTAAATTGGTGGAGGGGGATGGGCATGAACAAGCCAAAACAGGGTCTCCTTGACACATTTCTAGCAATCAAAAACTATTAACATTTCATATGTTATGTAGAACCATTCTATTCTGTAAATCTCAAAGTAAACATTGCATGGAACCCACATTTCATACTCAGGTGTTTCCAGATATCCACTCAAAAATATTTCTTTTCATATTTCCTTTGAAGTCCTCAAAGCTCTTCAGAAACATAAATTTAATGTATCCCCCAGTGTCTGTTAAAGATGTTGCAGCAAGGACTGTGGGCAATGTCCTGATCTTAGCAACAGTCTTATCCTTTTTCCTAATGTGGGTCAAACGCACATGTGTTTTCATTTTCCATTTCATATGAGGGTCAAACAGGTAACCCTTACTCATGTTGGTAAGCACATCTTGTATAAGCAACCCAACTCAAGTCAGACTTTGCCACTTCTATTATTTAATATAATATTTTGGCATTACTCTGTTCAGTAACAGTTAGAATACTACATCAGAACTTCCTTATTCTTCTTTCTCTTTTCCCTTTAATTTCCTTATCTCATTTATTATTATTATTTCCATAGACAGAAATATACTTCCATAGGAGTATCTTTATATCCTCTTTTTCAATTGTCAATTCATATTATTTTTCTCCTCCACATTTTCTATCTTTTATCCTTTTCTCACCATCTCTCTCCTTTATCTTGTTCTGAGTTGTGTTCTTTCTACATCTTTCTCTCCTTCAATGTTTCCTTTCTTTTCATCAGCTACAGTAGGACCAGTTTCTACCTCCTTTCTTTCTTCATCCTTTTTATTTGTATTCTCAAAACAATCCCTCACACTCTATCCACTAGAAGTGTGCAAAGAAGTCCCTATTCTATTTGGATTTGGCCCGAATCAGGGACAGTGATTTGATTAGTTGATTTGGATCATTGTCCCTGATTTGATTCAGCCAAATCTGAATCTGAAGATTTGGTGCTTCTGTGGGACACTCCATGAACCCCAGCACTGCAGCTTTCATGAGCTGCCTGCTACCTAGAGGTATGCAGAAAAACCATTTAAAGCTGTGTCTACGTCCGAATCTTTTTGAATCTCTCTGAATCAATTTGGAGGGTTCCGATTCGATTTGGAGAGATTAAAGGGTCCTCTGATTCAACTGGGATTTGGAGATTCAGCCACCAAATCAGGCTGAATCTCCGCCGAATCAAACCAGGGACCAAAGCTTTGCACAGCCCTACTATCCACCTAACACTTAAGTAAAAGAGGCTGTCTCTCTTCACTCATCAAAGGTCATTACTGAAGAAGAGTTCTTCCTTTCCTGGGTCGGAAAGGAACTGAGCTGTGTCTTCAGGACTGAGTCCAGTTTGCTTTATCATGTGTAGCTGCTGAACAAGCAGAATGAAGTCAGTTCTTTCCTAAAATTAGATAGCACATATAGACCAAAGACACTTGTCCTCATTGACTAATTTAGCACTTACTTTGAAGCATGAATTACTATGGACAGTTGAGACCCAACCCTCAGGACACACTGGGGCAGGAGTTGTTGTTTGAACAGGAGGATATGTGGCATCTGCAGCCCGTTGTTTACAAATAAATTTTTCCACCATCTCACAAGGAAGAACATCCCATAATCCAGCTGCAGGTCCAGTTCTCATTGCAGCACATCCTGACTCCCCGCCTTCATGAAACAGAGCAAAAACTAGTAACAATGATATAAAATCTTCATTTATGATGATGATTAAAGTATTTATGGCAGTGGCCAGAACTTAACAGCACAGTAATAGTGACAGAGTAAAACTATGTTTCAAAGGTATCATTTCAGAACCAAGAGTTCTAGATTTTTGCAAGAGCTTGGAAAGTACTTGAAGGAAGTCAGTCCTAGCTGAAGGACCTAAGCAAGGTCATAGTGGGAACCCTGGTGAAACTTTTCCAAAACTTGTGGCACTCTGGGAGATCACTGAGGATTGGAAGAGGGTCAATATTGTGGTCATCTTCAAGAAGGGGAGGACAGAGGACCCGGGCAACTATAGACCAATCAGTCTACCATTCCAGGGAAAATCCTAGAAAAACTCATCAAGGAGTCTGTGTGTGATACACTTACAGAGGGTAAGATTCTTAATGATAGCCAGCATGGCTTTGTCATGGGCAGGTCTTGTCTTACCAATCTCATCTCCTTCTACCACCAGGTAACTTCCCACCTGGATAAGAGAGAGGAGGTCGACGTTATATATCTAGACTGCTAAAAGGCCTTTGATCTGGTATCCCATGATGGTCTCATGGGAAAAAATGGAGGATTGTGGGTTTAACTGCTCAACAGTTAGGTGGGAAGGAAGCTAGTTGCAGGGTAGGACCCAGAGAGGTCTCATGAACAGATCTGTGTCATCTTGGCAAGAAGTGGCCAGTGGTGTCCCTCAGGGGTCCATGCTTGATCCAGTGCTTTTCAACATTTTTATCAATGATCTGGATGTGGGGACGAAGAGCTCACTGGCCAAGTTCACAGATGATAAGTTATGGGAAAGTGTGGTCATGCTTAAGGATAGGCTGCAGGTTTAGGCAGATCAGGACAGGCAGGAGAGTTGGGCAAATCAGAACCAGATGAAGTTCAACTCACCTGGGGAGAAGGAATCCACAGCATACATACAAGCTGGGAAGCTCCCTCCTTGAGATTACAGAGGCGGAAAGGGACCTTGGAGTCATTATTGACTCCAAGATGAACATGAACCGCCAATGCCAGACCTCAGCCAGCAAAGCCAACCATACCTTGTCATGCATCCAAAGATGCATCTCAAGCCGGTCCAGAGAGGTGATACTCCCCCTCTACACAACATTGGTCTGGCTTCAGTTGGAGTACTGCATCCAGTTCTGGGCACCGCACTTTAAGAAGGATGTGGCCTGCCTTGAGAGGGTTCAGAGGAGGGCCACCCGCTTGGTTGGAAGGCAACAGGGCAGGCCCTCTGAGGAGAGGCTGAGGGACTTGAACCTGTTCAGCATCAGCAAAAGGAGGCTGAGGGGGGATTTGGTGGCTGCCTACAAACTCGTTAGGGAAGATCAGCAGCAAATAGGAAGGGCCCTATTCCCCCTACCAGCACCTGGGGTGATGAGAAACAATGGCCAGAAGCTACAGGAGAATAGGTTCAGGTTAGAGATTAGGAGGTAATATTTCACTGTTAGGGTGCCTAGGATCAGGAGCCAACTTCCTAGGGAAGTGGTTCTCACTCCTACCTTGGGTAAATTAAAAAAGAGGTTGGATGAACACCTGTCTGGGGTCATATGATTCCAGCATGTGCTCTGGCCAGTGGTGGGGGGTCAGACTAGATGATCTATTTAGGTACCTTCTGATCCCTAACTACTATGAAACACTGAGAAGTGTAAAGTGTTCTATCTGGGGGCAAACAGTCCCCAACCTACAGGCTAGGTGGTACCAATTTGACTAGCACCACGACCAAAAGGAACATAGGGGTAATAATTGACCATCACATGAACATGAGCCATCAATGCAATGCTATAACCAGCAGGGAAAACAATACTTTGGCATACATCAACCAATTCATCTCATGTAAAACCGAACAAGTGATTCTTTCACTGTACTTAGCACTAGATAGACTGCAGATGGAGTACTGTCTCCAGTTCTGGGCACCAGCCACACTTCAACAAGGACTTGGAAAAACTTGACAGAGTCCAGAGAAGAGCCACCCATATGATCAGAGACTTGCAAGGCAGACCATACGAGGAGAGACTGAGGGACTTGAGCCTTTTCAGTCTAAAAAGAGAAGGCTGAGAGGGGACTTGGTAACAGCTTACCACTACATCGGGGCATACATCAAGAGCTCAGTGAACACTTCTTTACCAGGGCACCTTTGGGGAAAATGAGGAGTAATGGTTACAAACTCCTGGAAGACTGCTTCAGGCTCAACTGTACGAAAAACTTCTTCACCTTCAGGGTGTCCAGACTGTAGAATAAACTCCCTCCAGAGGTAGTGCAATCACTTACTCTGGAAATCTTCAAGAGGAGACTGGATGGTCACCTCACTGGGCTCACCTGACCCCAGGCATCTTTCCTTCCTGGTGAAGTGGGAGCTGAAACCAATTATCTTGTGTGGCCCCTTCCATCCCCTTACAATCTATGAATCTTGCATTGAGAAGCTCATAACATAATTGAGTGTAATCCTCAATTTGGTCTGAAGGAAATGAAATACCTACATTTCTAAATAATGGCTTGTATGGGACATAGCATGAATTTTAATAAAAAGGCATTCTGGACCTGATTCCCATTTATACACCATTGTTATTTTCACTGTGTAAATGAACTGCAGTGCATAAATGGAATATGCATATATAAATCAGTAACATGTATGATATACTAAGTCACAGAAGCACTTTTAGTAAACAGAAACACCTGCAGACTTTGATCATGACTTCTCCCTACTTTTACCATGGGAACACAATAAACCAGTAGTATAAATAGCAATGGTTTGGAGCAGTAAGCATGGAACGGACAGGAGTTGGAGCAGCACATGGAGGGCAGGGGTGGAGAGCTGGGTTTGGGGCAAGTTTGAGGATAGGTACCACTTAATTTGTTGCTGCCACAGGGTGGAGACAGGATTCAGCTGTACTGTGCCATGGCAGGAGCTATAGAAAGCATACAGCCCCTCGGTACTGGCAGCACTACATCAATACTTTCTCCTGATAGCAGTGGCGTCTTCCATAGTGCTGCTCTTGCTTGAACCCAGAGTACAAATCTTATTAATTACACCTCTCATATGAAGAATACTAATCCTGTATGTAATAGGCAGTATTGAATCAATTGTAAAACTCCTCAAAATTCAACATGACAAAGAAATTCTTCAAGATGCATAGTGAAGATAATGAGTGTCTTGCTCATTGGATCAGGCCACAGCTCCCACCTTCAAGAAAACTGCAGCATATTTGAGATAATACAATGGTATAACAATACAGTTGCAAAAAAAAATAGCATGATCATTTGTAATTTCCTATTGATCTATTTCTTATATGACATCATAGCATCATGGCTATTAAACCAACAGCAAAGGTGCATTCAAGAAATGCCAACACCCATTAGATTCATTAAAGATACAGATAATGACATTGGATAAAAGATTCAAGATGTAGTTTTTGGAATCAAAGATTTAAACCTCAGATAATATACATCATACACCACATGGCAGGGCATACCAGGCATTCCTGAATTCCAGTGAGTGAACAGAACCTCTTCACCATTGGCCCACTTGAATATTCCTTGTTCTTCTGCATCAAAAAGACCAATCCAGAAATATTTTTCTGATGTCAGCCCAACCAGACTAATCAGAAAGGCTTGTTCATACCTGCCCAAAAGATAATAAACAGAAAACTGAAGTAAAACAGATAATTTTTCATGTTTGTGTTAGTGGGATGTAATCTGTAATATAAACAAGAAATTCAGACAGCAATTTAACTTTGGCAGTTTATAATGTATAACAATTCTGCAATATACTACAAAGCCCTTCAAATAAACCACAAAGATATACTGAAGGATAGGAAGAGAATGATGAAACCAGAAATATTTTTTGCTGTTGTGCAGTTTTGTTTTGGGTTTGTTTGGGTTTGTTGTTTGTTTGTTTGTTTGTTTTTGGGGGCAGGGTTGGGGCATCATACTATCCTCCTGATATTAATATTAAGGAAGGCAAGTCTGTTTAGGTGTTGTGTGGTTTTCTTTGATGAGTTTAAAAAAAAAAAGCATGTTTTCCTTGATGAGAATTCTGTGGCCATATCCAGACAAGTGCAGGCATTTGCTTCCCTGGGGACAAGAAGCAAAGGCACAGCTTGCACCACTGCTACTTGTCCCTGGAGAATGCCCATGCCACACATGCTCTGGCATGCAACAGGTTACTCCAGGTGGGGTAAGGGTGGCTGGACCAGCAGCCTTTCCTGGGGTCTGTGAAACCTGGCCAGCAGTCAAAGCATGAGTCCAGCAGGCCAGGCTCTGATTTTGGGTGGCATGTACTGCAGCCACATGTGCTGCCCCGCTTTCTTTCCGTGCAGGTTTTTTTAACCTCAGGATCTCCTGGGTCAACCCCCCACGTCCCACCACCCATGCTGAAAGGTAGCAGCATGGGAAATGCCTGAATATGCAGCATGTGGTATGACAGATGGGTCTGCGACTCCACATACCATACAGCCACGCTCATCTGGACGTGGCCCATGATAGCAAATAAGTCTTATGTTCAATTTTCAGCCTTTTACATACAATTTATGCCATTTTTTATTGAACATGGTATTAGATTTGTTAAGAAGAAAACATCTGATAACTTAGATCTTTCAAAGTTTTTCTATTGTTAGGTCAGATTTAAGAAGTAAAAGAAATGTCATTACTGTACCGATTTTCAACTGTTGCTATGTAACCATTGTTCCTTTGACATGCTTTATTTGCTTCTAAAAATGTTTCAGATATATTTCCAACTGAATAGCAAAATGTTCCATATCTTTTCCATCCCTGTAACATGATTATCAAGCATCTGTATGAATTTTTAAAAGTTGTAATACATTGAATAAACAATGCCCATTTACAATTGCATTTATTATATGCTGCTTTGCAATTCATTGTAAAAGCTAAACTAAGAAATACTGAAGGGATAGGGATGGAGGAAAGTATTATGAATAGTTTCATAAAATTCATATTCACCATGCTCACTGTTTCCGGTAGGGAGGCTGGTTTTGTAAAAGGTATTGTAGAAATGCTGTGACAAACCCCATAGAAATGGTTGATTGATTTTGTCTTCTCTGTCTACCTAACTTAATAAAATTATATCTCTAATCTTTCCTTACCACCATTTGTTGAAAACCAAGTAGTCTACTATAACATTTAAACAGCTTCAACAGTAATGCCAGATTTGAAAAGACATGGTAGCTCTGAAGAGGAAAGTCAGATGTGCTCCTGAGTTCATGAGTAGTCAAAATAAAATCTTTAATCATCAAGCGTTTCCACTTTATGACCATATTTTCCCATCATAATTTAAAAAATGTATAATGCCCAATTTTTACAAAGCCATTGCTACTGGGTATGGGGCTTACCAGCACAAATAGGTCCCTTGAATCTTCATGGGAATCATGATTCAACTTCAGCACTTTCCTGAATTGGGGCCCATACCTAACAATGTTTGCAAGACCTAAGATTTTCACATCATTCATGTCCATTGAAAACTACCTCTATGGAAGCACGTACATAAATAAAATTCACACCATATTTGTCTTAACTGAGCAAGTAGTATGTTTTCAAAATGAACATGCTTGAATTAACCATTCTGCACAGCAAAGTTGCCAGGGTTCATCCAAGTGGAGGCATGTGCCTGAGGGAAGAAGGAATCCAGAGCATACATACAGGCTGGAGAGTTCCCTTCTTGAATGCACAGAGGCAGAAAGGGATCTTGGAGTCATTATTGACTCCTTCAAATGGCATACAGAAGGGAAATGAAAGACAGTACAGTTTAACAGTACAGTTTAACTTCTGGATCCCAAGCTAATTTATTTTTGGTTATTCTTGTTTAAAGACAGTTCTGAATTGGATAATGGAAGTTCTCCTCCATGCATACTCACTCTCTGGCAGCCTGCATCAGCACTTTCCTTTTCTTTAGGCACTTGTACCAAAGGTTTTCTTTTACAAACATAACCAGTTTTCTTTTTACAAACATGATCTGCCCAATAACCATCCTAAATATATCAGGAGAAAGAAGAAAATTAGTGTAGAGGGAAGTATAGTCATCAGACACTGCACATTTTCCTTTCTCTTCCATAAAAATATAAAATCATAATTCTTTCTTAAGTTCTTACTTTAATTGGTTATAAAGAGGACCCTCATCATGCTCTGGGAATTTTTACTGGTGGGAAATGACAGACTAGTTTGTGGCACTGCTGAGATCTGAATCTGTTCTAAAAAGTCTGTAGGTGATTTTAGAAATCTCATAAGCTAAAACTGGCAGTGAAAGAAATAGCTTGACTAAATTGCTTCTACCTTACCCGAAAATGTTTACCTGATGCTAAGATGGCTAAGTTCCTCCTTGTAATATTTCAGACAGAAGAGACCCTAAACACAGGCTTCACACAGCTTCTATATTGTTGCATTGCCATTTTTATTTTTTGGGGGAGGGAGAGGGTAGACTCAGACAAGTGCCAGTTATGCTCAAGAGCTGTTTCAAGTTTCTTTTTGTTATCACACTCGTGACCTTCAGTAACTAAATATTCATTAACTTTCATGGAGTCCACCTTCATCTATAAAAAGCCTTTTTAAAATGAAAGCTGAAATGCTGATCTCATCTTGTGAATCTAAGTTGCTAGTGTCTTAGCTGTTGTTAGCCCATAGCATCTATGCTTTTGTGTGGTCCTAACCAGGTGCAAAACCAAGAAGTCAGAATCATTTGTATTGCATTGCATTATTATTGGCTGGATTATTTTACCTGGCCCTTCATAATTCCACAGTCTTCCTGCCTGCCATTTTCATGGGTTGGTTCTCCATGTAGCCATTTGGTGTATGTCACAGGAGTCCCATCACTCCATTCAAAATACATTTGAACCTTATTGTCATTTAGTCCAATCCATAACTCCTCTGTTGGCTCTAAAATATGAAAGCGTTGTGTCAATTAACTTTTTATAGAACAAAATTTCATGTAGTTTTCTGAATGAAGAAACTGGGTTCAGGAAGCTTAAGACTGTAGCATGGCTGAATTTTTCCATATCAATGATACTTGAGCTCCTCTCAAGTAGCAGCTTCTTTCAGAAGCCACAAGGAAAATATATAACCAGGCTTATACAACAATATGATGCCAGTCAAAATTATTTGGCTACTTCAGGTCAAATTCATAAATCTTTTTGGATTAACAGAAAATACTGGATCTTGATTTTAAAAAATTCACCCAGCTATATTTTTCCTAAGCATGCCCTGGTATATCTAGGATAATATTATATAAAAATAAAAATGACTTTCTCTCTCCAAAATGAGGTTTTGAATGTATGTGTTGCCATGCATTGAACAAAATTATCACTTGCACATTTAACAAAAAGATTTTAAAACATATTAGAGAGGGAGGAATAATCCACAACACACTTACAGGCTCAGCTGTGCTATGCTTGCCAGCATTACAACTGAATGAGAACTGGGTGTCATAATAAACCACAAAATGAACATGAGCCACCAATGTGATGCTGTAGCTGGCACAGCAAATCAAACACTGGCATGCATCTATGGAGGCATCTCGAAAAAGGCTAAGGATGTCATCCTCCTGCTCTACTCAGCCCTGGTGAGACCGCAGCTGGAGTACTGTGTCCAGTTCTGGGTGCCGCACTGCAGGAAGGATGTGGAGAAGCTCAAGAGAGTCCAAAGGAGGGCCATGTGCATGATTACAGGTGTGGAGAACAGGTCATATGAGGAAAGGCTAAAAGACTTGGGACTGTTCAGCCTGGAGAAGAGAAGACTTAGAAGGGACTTGGTGGCAGCCTATACATATATTAGGGGCATACTTCAGGGCCTGGGGGAGTGTCTGTTCACCAAGGAAGGACAAAAAACAATGGGCACAAACTGATTGGAGATCACTTCAGACTGGACATAAGGAAAAACTTATTTACAATTCGAGTACCGAGGGTTTGGAACAGGCTCCCCCCAGAGGTGATACAGTCACCCACCCTGGCGAACTTCAAAAAGCATCTTGATGCCCACCTTGCTGGGATCATCTGCCCCCAGCAGTCTTTCCTGCCCAAGTCCAGGGCGGCTGGACCCAATGATCTGTAATGCCCCTTCCAGTCCCTAACATCTATGAAACTATGAGAACAGGGATAAACAGCCCCCAGCATGTGCGCCAGTTAGTGACATGTGGAGACACTTTCTTCAGCATGTCACCTCTGTGGTGTTGCTGAGAGTTTCACAAAGCTTCTCAAACTCAGCCACGGCACTGAGGGCAGGGTCAGCAGATGGCAGACTGCATTCCTGTGTCCCTGCCTGTGTCCTCCTGCCCCCATCCCTGGTGCCTGCTGCAGCGCTGGGAGCTTTTACGAAGCTTTGTCAATCGCTCAGCACTGTGGCAGACATTGCAAGCTCCTCCCCCTCTGCATATATGGGGGAAGCACGTGGTTCTGGGTGGCCGATAGCTCAGTAGCCCCTTGGTGCTGGTGCCAATTTCTGTGCTTTGCAAACTGAGAATTTAAAATTATTCAGCTTATTTTGCTGTGTTCAATTATTGCATATTCTGTTTTTGCTCCCTCCCAAACCAGTTTCTATTATTCAGTTTATTTTCCACTGTTAAATAGTTTCATACTTAGTTTTTGCTCTCTTCCAAACCAGTTTATATTAGGGCTGTGTGAAACAGCACCATTTTGTTTTGACTTCTGTTTCACTGTTTCAAAGGGACAGTGTTTTGTTTCATCATTTCATTTCAAAGCACTGTTCCTTTTCGTTTTGTCAAAACCATTTCGCTGTTTCGACATGTTTCAACATTTTGCCCATAGGCTATAATGGGGAATCATTAAAATGCCTATAACTTTGTCATTTCTTGCCTGACTTGGATGAAAATTTGAGGGATGGTAGATCCTTCCATGGGCTGAAGCCTGACAAGTTTCAAGGAGATAGGTGCAGGGGTTTCTGGGACACTGCACTTCAAGGTGCTAAAAGCAAAACCTGTGTCACTTGCGAGCAGTGGCAGCCTCCTGTTATGCCTCATGCAGATCTGGGGGCCTGTGCCACCGGGAAGTCTGTGGGGTTGTGCCAGACTCCTCCCGGGGGAGTGGGCCGCAGATATGCACATGGGATGACAGGAGGTTGCCGCTGCCACGTGGGATGCAGCCATGTGGCAGGCTGCCGCTGCCACACTGGGCACAGCCCACATCGAGCATCAGCAAGACTGGTGCTGCTGCTGGCCCCAGGCAGCACCAGCCTCCTGTCATCCTGCACACAGATCAGGGGGCCTGCACCCCTGGAAGGAGTCCAGCAGTGCTGGGAGGGCAGGTTGAGCTCCCTGGGGCTGGAGAGTGCAGCCCTGGCTCTCCCCGCCTCCTGCTGCTGGGCTGCACTCTGAGTGGCTCCACCACTGGCTCTCCTGCTGCCGAACTGAGCTCCATGGGGCTGCTGGAGCTCCTTGGAGTGCAGCCCTGGTGAGCACAGCCTGGTGGTGGGAGGAGGGGGAGAACCACTGGCCACGGCTGAGCTCGAAGCCAGGGCTGTGCTTGGAGTGGCTCCACCACTGGCTCTCCACCACCTCCTGCCACCGGGCTGAGCTCCATGGGGCTCGCAGAGCCACTTGGGGCACAGCCCTGGGTCCAAGTGTAGCCCTGGTGGGCACAGCCCAGTGGCTAGAGGCTCGGCAATCCCACAGAGCTGAGCCTGGCAGCAGGAAGTGGTGGGAGGCAGTGGAGAGCCAGTGACAGAGCTGCTCAGAGTGCAGCCAGCCTTGTTGCGAGCACAGCCTTGGCCAGTGGCTTTCTCCCACCTCCGGCCACCAGGCTCAGCTCTGTGAGGCTGGTGGAGCCACTCAGAGTGCAGCCAGGCAGCAGGAAGCAGGGGAGAGCCAAGCCTGTGCTCTGAGAGGCTCCACTAGCCCCATGGCGCTCAGCCTGGCGGCAGAAGAGCCAGTGGTTTTGCTACTCCAAGTGGAGCCCTGGCTTGGAGCGTAGGTCTGGCAAGTGGCTCTTCTCTGCAACCTGCCACCAGACTCAGCTCCGTGGGGCTGTGGAGCCTGCAGCTGCCAGGCTCTACTCACCAGGGCTGTGCTCCAAGCAGCTCCTCCAGCCCCATGGAGCTCAGCCTGGTGGTGAGAGGCAGCAGGAGACCCAGTGGCGGAGTCGCTCGGAGCACAGCCGTGGTGAGTACAGCCCGGCAGTAGGAGAATCTGCAGCCCCATGGAGCCGAGCCTGGTGGCAGGAGGTAGGGGAGAGTCACTGTCCAGCGCTGCACTCGGGGCAGCTTCACCACTGGCTCTTCTGCCACTGTTAAAAAAAAAGCAATGTTTATTATTATTAACTATATTAATATTCTGTGCATCCTGCCATGTACCCCTGCCCCACTTTTATTTTTCTGGTATGCCAGCACTCTGGCACCTTACAAAGTAGATGTCGCAGGTTTTTTGGCACTCCAGTCAAAAACCATGCCTGTATTAGAAAAAATGTATACGCCCTGATAGCTAATTTTCAACACATATGCCCCATTTTAATTCACAATAGAACACACACTTGCAAAACCTGATAGGGCTGGCAGCCAAACAGCTCTGCAGTCATCTTTACTCTGACAAGAACTGCTGACACAAATTAAGTGGTGAAAAAAAGGGAAATTGGTGGTTTCTTCAACAGGATAAATTTGGGTGTATATAAAGACATTTGGAGATGTTAGGGGGAGGTTAGACCAACTTTAGGGTGGTCACTCAATCTAAAGTAAGTCAGGATGGGTGGAGGGGGGCTCGTGTCAGCATCCCTATATAACATAGCCAAGGTCTCCTGCTCTGCTATTCCTGGCTTCTTGGCAATCATGACCTCAGTCACAGAATGCACTGACTGTGTGTTAGTCCCTTTGCTACTTCTGCCTCACCCTACCTCCCTACCTGCCTAACAAAATATGGTTCAACAAAATATGGTTCTCCCTCTCCAAAGGTCTTCCCAATGGAAAGGCAGTTGTCAGCACGAGACCTGCAGGGTGAGAAGCTGTAGGAAGAAAACAGGAACAGTGCAAGTACAACAGCTAAGGTGATGCTGAAGTAGCATGTATAATACTAATACCATGTTTCTCCCTTCCCCCCCCTACTTCTTTCTTGCTTGAGAAAACAAAGGCTCCTCAAAGTTATGCAAATTAGCAGGGCATATTTCCCAAAAGGAAGAAAAATTACCTTAACAGAGACAGATAATTCTGATTTCTGCTCAGCTGTAATTAGGTGCAGCTGCTGCTCCCTTCATGCAGATGTTTGATGTTAAATGCCATTGTTAAAACTAAAACTAAAATCAGATCACTGCTACATTTTAAAAGTGAATACATACAAAATGCTGCCAAATAGGAATACTCACTATACCCAAGCTGAGACACTATGAAGCTGTGCTCTTCTACGTTATGAATACTGACAAGATCGCCATCATTCTTTCTACAGGAAGTCAAAGCTTCTTCCCACACTTTGGGCTCCCTGTATATCATGTAACAGTGACCAGCATATGACCTCCATCCATCTGGGCAATGAACAGACTCAAAGTCACCTAAAAATCAAGTTACACTGTTTCAGAGTATTTTAATAGCTGCAAAAACTAAATGAGACAGACAGTAGTTTCTCTGTCTGAATAAAAATCTGATGATCAAGTCTGCCATTACAGTCCAATGAAATATTAAAATACGATCAATAGTAAATATGTTAAGTGTGAACATAAAAATATAGCATTTTACACTTTGTAAAATGAACACATTTGAATATAGGTATTATTTTAAATGTCATATAAGATTTTCATCTCCTATTGAAATTAAAGAATTATGTTAAATTTTTAATATTGACCTATTTTTTTAAATGTATTAGTAACTGACTATCACTTAACCAAATATTAGAAAATATTGTACCTAACAGTCAATGTCTTTAGCTTGAATATTTTTTAAATATGCTGTTTTGGTAAGCAAGACCAAACTGATATAGGAGCAGACAGATTTTCTAGAATGATATATAATGAAAAGCTAACATAAAAAAGCAATGCTCTTAAAACACCTCTTGTAGCTCTGTGATATTCTAGTTCTCCTTCCCTCAGTCTGTCATTGCTTTGTTTCTTCCCTCCTCTGAGAAAATAAGTCTGTTTGCTGTAGTTGGCAATTTGCTCCAGCTTTTACACCCATCACCAGAGGTATTCAAGTGAAGCATTTGATTATCTGTTGTGCTTGGGGAAAGTAAAGATTTAAAATTCTTATGTTTCTCTCTCATATTTCTATGCCAGTTTATCTCTTATGACATTAAAATGCATTTCAACCTGTTCAGTTTTGCAAACTGGAATGCCATACAATTGAGATGGTCAGAGGTCAGTTCTGACCAATATACCTGAGGGAATAGTGATATTAGCTAAATGGGTATCTCCCCATTTGCAAATATAGCCAATTTTCTCTCCACAATCCCGGTTTTCCCATTTAAAATTCGTTCCAGGATTTAAAGCTGCGCAGATTTTCCCAGCATCTGAGGAAGGGTTTCCTGTGAGAAAGATACAAAAAGTGAACCTCCCTGAAAGCCCAGTAGAATTCTGAGTTCAGAATACAAAGGAGAATACTCGTTTTTCTCATTGAATTTCAGCCAGCAATATTCCACCTTTTTCCAGAAAAGAATTTACATTCACAGAAGTTTATATTTAATATAATTTCCAATAGTTGCCTAAATTGAGAGTGTAATGTTAAAAATAAAAATCACATCCTTCCTTCCTTGCTAATACCAATGAAACCCAAGGACAGAATTTAATTAAATTTGTGTGATAGATTCTTCTACTGATTCTTGAATAAACATATTTTACAGAAAGAGTTATGAATTCATGTGCTGATAGAAGAAAGAACAATTGATTGATTGATACTGAAAATAAGACATAATATAAATTCGTTTTTTAAATCATCTGCAAACCATTCATAGTTTCCCTACAAAATTTTGAAGGAGGATAAATGAATACAAAATAAATTTTAAAACATCTTTATAATATTACAAAAGCATCACTAGGTGGCTAAAAATGCAATAGCCAAAATAATGACTAAACACAAATTTTCAGAAAGAAGTCTGTTTTGCTTTGTTTCTTTGTTTTCCCCACATTTTGAGAGGAGCAAGAAATAAAGCTAATATGTTATTCTTGTCTTAGTGCTGGGAGAATCCAATTCTGTTAAAATGCTGTCTCTTTTGATTCCAAAGAAGTTAAGGGAATGTTATTATGTGATGGTACATAAAAAAATCAGGGAAATTTTCTATTTAGAAACACTTCTCCTGATTACTGGATATTATTTTGATGCAACAGGTAATGCATAGTCTTCTCTTTTTTTGTTATTTAGTATGGATATTTGTAGCAAAATATTTATCCCTTAGATATTTGTTTCCTTCATTTGCTTACTCCTTCACAAAAGTGGATATTGCCAGTGACAATTCCATAGAAAAAATGTTAGCAGAAATATCACAGCCATAATCATAAGAAACAAAAGATGGAGAATAATTTATGCCCTTTAAAGAATAGAATAATATTTTTCTGGAAGAAGCAGCATGATTTTAATGATCCATATGTTAAGAAAATATCAAAACAACTAGAAGATAATTTTAGTGTTTAAGCTTTTTCTAGATTCTATGGAGCCTTGACTTCTATATTTCACGTTTAAGTTATTCATTAAAGCTCAGATCCTGTAAAGCACTTAGTAACATACTGAAAAATAAGGTTATGCTTATTGTTTTGTGGTTTTCAATTCAAATTATACTTTTAACTACCCATCATGAAATGGATTTAATAGCTACCTGGTGCCCAGTTTAAGTATCTGAAAGGATTGCCACCAGTCCACTGCCATCCACTCTTTAAATCCAATCTGTTAAGTCCAGTCCATAGTGAAGAATTAATCCCTTCAGTTAATCCTAAATGGCCAAAAGAAATTAAATGATTCAGTTCACTATATCTATACTAATCAGTAAAACTATCACCTTGTAAATTACTGAAATTCTCCCATAGAATAGGACTACACATTCCTAAAAATGCTTCAGAATTTTCTCATGGGATAATACAATGTTACTTGACAATTTACCCTCAGGTTTTGGCAAGACATTGTATCCCTAATTTCTCACAAAGCTCAGTGTAACCCATATGGATGTGTAATATGGAGCGAGAGACTCCTATTAGGTAAAACATGCATACCTGCCTAAAACTGAAGCTACCTGGATCAACAAGTCACTAAGACAAAAGGACTTGTAATCCAAGTAAATAGAGCCTGGGATGGGGCTGTCTTCTGGGAGAGTAGGAAGTAGTCAATTAATGAGCTGCAGGAAGGACTCACAGCTGGGATTTACCTGATTCACAGCCAGGGGTTAATGAGGACACCAGGCAGTAGCAGTAAACTGCCACCAAGTTAAGCAACAAGCCTGCTTAGGGAGAGCTAGCAGACAACCCCAAGGAAGTCACCTGACTGGCAGGGCCTGGAAGACATATAAACTGAAGGCAAGATCAGTCTGACCCTGCAGGCTGCCAAGGAAAGAGCTCTGCACTGAGAGGACTATAACTGAGGGATTTCCTGGGGTCTGCCTGCAATGAAGCCTGCAAGTGAGGGACTCACGGCTTGGAGGGGTGGGTTTCCTATAGAGCCAGCAGGCTTGGTGTTTTGTTGCAGCCAGTGTGCGCATGTTTCTGTTATAGTTAAAAACCAGTGGACCAGGTTTGGGACTAATAAAGGGAGGTGGAGGTCCCAATAGTGCCTGAGAACTACAGTGCACAAGGAGAACAGAGACTGGGTTGGGGGCCCAAATACCCAAGAAGGGCAGAAACAGTGGCATAGGGTCAGGGGCACAATGCTCAAGGAAAGCAGAGATAAGGTCAAAGACCCTGTGCCTGAGCAAGGCAGAGACTGAGGCTGGGGGCCTAGTGCCCAAGAAGGGTGGAAACAGACACAGAGTCCCACAGCCCTAGGGGGTGAAACCAGAGACCAGTAGGGGCTGCCCAGAACCCTGAGAGTAGAAGAGATTGAAGAAGACAGAGACCTGAGGCCAAAAGAGCCAGAACCAAAGCCTAGAAAGGGGCTGAAACCTTGGAAGCCAGACTAAGGGATGGAGCCTGGAAGCCCAGTCTGGTGTAGTGGGCTGAGGTGAGAGGGTCCAGCTAGAGGAAAGGGGCAGAGGGTGAGGCCCCAACAAGAGAACAGAGGCCTGAGGCCCCCTGACACTGACTCTGGGCATAGCACCCCACCTGAGTGATGACTCGTAACACCTGAGAGGCATGGCAAGTAGCCCATAAGGCATCTAGTGCCCCAGGGCAGCACATACAGGTCACAAGGGCCCAACTTCAATTGAGAGCAAGATTGAGACCAATAGGTTCTGAGAGGGATCCATGGTCAGGCAGATGGACTAAGGCCCACTGTAGGACCCCAGAGGCGGTTTCCACTTTCCTATTTCAGTTGTTCCAACCAAGGCATAGCAGGTGAGAAGAAGGGAGGGCACCCTAGAGCAGGCACCAAGAAGGATCAGTGAAGCTACCAAGGGGCATCAGGGCTACCTGTGGAATCCAGTCCTGCTACATTATCTTTCAGTCAGTCTGGAAATCCACTGAGTAATTTCAGCAATGTAGTTACAAGCATAAAACAAGGTCTTTCCAAAAAGGCCAACAGAAATACCCATATTTAAGTCAGAGAAAATAGCTGATTTTGGGGGCTTGGTGAATAAATTAAAAAATAAAAGGAAAAGAAGGTGATTTTATTGAACAAACACGTCAGTCCTCTGGATCATGCTGTACATGTAAGAGGCTAGTCAGATGCCAGATTATTCCGTTTTTGGCTGACAAGCCCCATTTGAGAGCAACACAGCTTGTTACAAGCTTCAAAGATCCATATGTTGTCTAAGTTGGAGTCTAAATTTACAGCATGCTGCTTTCCTTTTTTTCATTTTTGCTTCTGGATCAAAGCCACTTCATGTTGAGCTGTACCCAGTACCAGATGTTCCCTCCAGATTGGATGGGATTCTACATGCTCCACCCAGCACATTGATACTACATTGATGCTGAATGACTTCATATAATGTTTGCACATATCATGCTACCACCATAGAGGGAGACTCCACTTGTTAGAGCCATCTCAAATCTCATTATACAAAATATTCTTGGGGAATATTCTTCCATTCTCCTTACATGGCTGATCCATCGCAACCTTTTCTCCTTGATAGTGGTTTCTAAGCATGTCAGTCCTGCATGCCCCAGTACCACTGTGTTTGATATTCTGTCTTCCCACTTTATTTTCAGGATCTCACATGTGCGGAAGCTGGTCAGCCTCGTGATATGCCTAGCATATGTAATCCATATTTCTGAATCATAAAGCAGGGGTAACATAGATTCATATCTATTATAGCTGATTGTTTGCTGCTATTCCATGCACTTTTCTGTCATACAGGCAACCGCCACTTAGTGCTCTTATTTGGTTCCTGAAAAACCGATGTTAAGCGAAACCAAAAGTATTTGACGACCCAAGATGGCAACCGCAATTGATTTTAATGACGCAGGATGACTATCGTAAGCATTATAACAAAACTTGCTGAGCACTAAGTGAAATCAGGTATTAATTTCAAATGAGTGTTATAGCGAAACAGCACTAAGTGAAACGGTGTTAAGTGGGGGTTGCCTGTAGCCCAAAATTCTTAGCTGCTTTTTCTGATTCTGTTAGTCAGTTCAGCCTGAAAGTCAAGATTCCTGCTGACTGTTGAACTCAAGTAGCAAAAACTGTCACTGACACCACAAAATTTATCCTCCAGAGTGATGTCCAGTATTGGTTTTTTCACCCTTTGGTACATGATCACAGTCTTCTTGAGACTAATTGTCATCCCAAAGCTCTTGCATGATTCAGAAAATCTGACCATGAGATTATATGCAGGGAAGACTCACCAAAAGCAACCAAGGCCACACCATTCTACAAACAGGAAATTTCTCAGAACACGTTCTTTCACCTTGGTTTTCACTCCAAACCTTGTGATGTTGAACAAGCCTCCATTTAGTCCGGTTCACAGACAAATGCCACTGTTGCTGTCCTTAAATGCGTGAAGAAGCAGGAATGAAAAGTAGATGTTTAAAAGCACAGAGGCTAAGACACCTCCCCACCCCTATTTCACCCTAATATCAATGCCAAAGTTGTTTGATTCTTTGTTTTCATACATTACCATTGCCTTCCTACCTTGATGTAATGAGTGAATGATATTCAATAGTTTGGGGGGCCAAACCAATTTCTTCATAAAAGTAAAAAGGCCCTGTCTGTTGACTCAAAGGCTATATACAATGGTATTCATTTTTCTCTAGACATCTCTAGCAGTTGCTTGACTGAAAATATCATAGCAATGGAGGTGGAGCATCCTGAGCGAAGACTGCATTGACTTTCAGGATATATTCTTTCACTTAGAGACTGCAGCCTATGGAGCATGATGTGAGTTACAATTTTTCTGATGATATTCAACAGAGAGATACCTCTATTGCTGTCACAGTTGCTTCCATGTTCTTTGTTTTTGTACAGTTGTACAAATCGAGCATCTTTGAAATCTTGCTATACCACTTCCTCTTTTCAACGGTATAACTTCATGAAGATTTGAAGTAATCCATTGTTGGCACATTATAGATTTCATCAGGCAAACAGTTGTTGCTGGATGCCTTGTTCCCAGGAATCAATTTAATGGCTTTCTGCAAATCTTCTAATGTACACACATTTTCTAAATCCATCATAGCCTTGAACTGTGGTAATCCTTCAAGCTCTTCATGTTTGATTTCTATCTCACTGGAGTATATTTTTACCTAACATCCCAGCTACGAGGCTTGGGAAAGCTTAAAATCTAACATGTACAATGCAGTTATAACAGTATTTGTCAAAAAACACAAGAAAAATGCAGACTGGTTTGAATAGCACTCTGAAACCCTTGTACCACAAGTTAAGAACAAAAGGACAGTGCTAACCAACTATAAGAAATCTTCCAACACCATAATCCTAGAAAGTCTGAGACAAGCTCAAAGAAAAATGCAAAAGAAGGTTAAGAGGTGTGCCCAAGATTTTTGGCTGAAACTCTGTGATGATATTCAGAAAGCAGCTGATGCAGGTGATAACCATGAAATGTACAAAGGCCTTGTATAGACAAAATAACGGGCATGTGTGCACAAAATTTTAAAGTGGGATAAATGCTTTTGCACTCCTTTAATGGTGTCAGTGTTTGCACGCATTGGTGGTATATTAATCCCAGCTGCTGTAGGAAATTCAGTGGTATAATGCACCTTAAATGACTTGGGGCTCAGCAAACTAAAACTTCTTTGAGGAGTTTAAGTTTGCTGTCCCTACAGCCACGGAGCAAAGCACTGGGCTCTGCTTAGCTCAGGGGCTCTTCAGGAAGCCCTGCAGCAGCCTGGGAAATCAAGCTCCACCCAAGAAAAGTGGCGAGCCTGATTTTTACTTTTTCCCCCCCTGGAGCCTGCCTGCATGCATGAGCTGTGCAGTGGCCCAGTGCTTCCCCCAGGACCACCCGAGCTGGGTGCCTGCAGGTGGGTGCCACTTGGGGGGGGTGCCGCTGCTGCGGAGGGACGCACCAGCAGCCCCCCTCCCCCCCTACAGCCCAGGGACCACTCCACCCACAGACAGCTTGCTCTCCCCGCCACTGAAGAGACAGGTATGTCAATGTGTGTACAACATGGGATTTTAAAGGGCCCTAAACTGAAGCGGTGTTTTTAAAAACCAACCGCTTCAATTTAGGGCCCTCGTTTCATCTACACACGCCCTAAGTTATCAAATGAACCAGGTCCAGGCAAAAAGAAAATATAGCTCCTCTGAAAGACTTAAATGGAAATGTCATTGCTGATAAGCAAAAACAGCTTGAGCATCAGAATGAATAGTATGGAATTATATTCTGCAGTGAGGCTGAAATAAAAACTAAGTAAATTTAACAAAATTTTGAAAGAAGTATCATTTCTAAATGTTCAAACATTTCATTTAGAAGCTGTTGAAATGCACTGTTTAAGCTTTTTCAAAACTTTTCTGAATTCTTTTTGCTGAAAATAATTACTAAATTTGTTCCAAGTTCACAAATACCAGTGATCAGCATGAAATTGAATTTTTAGGTGCTTATGGTATTTACCAAATCCATCACCTCACCCTTGTTACCATACTACATCTACTGTTCCTAGAATGGAAGACAGGACTTTCAAATGGTTTGTTACTTTACCTCTCAGATACGTTTGTTCATGAATCTCTGTAACACTCAGCAATTCCGCATTCTGTTGCTGACAACTTTTTCTTGCCTGGTGCCAAGTTAGAGCTGATTGGGAGTTTATCTGATAATAGGTACCTGTAGAAGGATCTGTAGTCCAAAATCTGACAGTGTCTTTATCTATATGGAGAAGGATTTATGTTAACAATACTTATTCATTTGAATAATTATAGGACCTAGCTGATATTTTTCTAAGACAATTGTCATTTGCCTTACAAACACTTTAAAAGCTGACTTGTGAAGGATGACAGCAAGACCAGTCAACCAGCAACTACATAGAGCTATAGATAAAGAGCTGTATAAATATAGAGCTATATATATGTATAACACCCCCCACACACACACTGGGTTGTATATTGTGTTTTTGTGTGTGTGTTTTGATATGGGCAAGATGGCCTCAGTTGTTCTGGCCATGTGCTGAGCACATGGCAAGTGGGGCCTGTATCTGGGAAAAGTATGTAAAAAGCTATAGTTTCATTGGCCAGTGGAAGCAGAGGATTCTTCAAGCCAATTGGTTGGGAGAGAGACTGCAATGTGGTGCTCCCTGACTGGACAAGGCCAGCATGATGTCATACAAGGGATATAAGGGGAGCTAGGCTGGGTTGGAGAAGGAGAATCAGATCAGATTCAGGAAATTCCTTTATGCTGGCATCTCTCTCAGGACTTGGAGAAGTGGAGCTCAAAGAGAGAACCAATTTGAATCCCTAGCAGAGGGAGCAAGTTGCAAAGAGGAGACACATCATGGTAGAAAATACAATAATGGGAGGAAAAAGTGGGAAGAAACAAAAGCAATGATACAGGGTAAAGCCATGAAATTCCCCAGAAGTAAAAATAAAAGCCCCTTGGGTCTGTATACAGTCAAGAGTAAGTCAGTGATGAGATTTCAAGAGAAGAGTGACATAACCATGGAAAAGGAAGATTAATTTAGTGGCAATATCTTATGGAAACTGGAGGTCAGGGAGCTGGCCAGAGAGAATGAGCAGACACTACATATGTTTGAAAATACTGAATTGATTATTAAATTTAAGTCATATAAATGAACTACTTTAAGTTAAGTAAGCAAATATTACTTGGAACATAAGACTGGAAGGACCTGGGGTCACTGATTCCAGGCACCTCCCTAAACCACTACCTACTGCTCCAGAACTAGAAGGCTCTTTTTACAGTTAGAAACCATTTTTCCTCTTATTTACAGCCCATATATATTCATGGCCTGTTTATATCCATTTGTTCTTATGCTATTATTGTCTGTCAGCTTAAGTAGCTCTTCTCTTCCCTGATGCTTACTGCCTGGTGCATTTATTAATGCAGTCATAGTCCCTCTCAGGGTTCATTTTGCTTGTCCAGTTTCTCAGTCAACTGCAATAAAACACTGAAAATAATTTTTCAGGAATAAAAATGCCAAACTGCAGAATTATGGATCAGTGGGCACATCTACACATACATTTACTCCAGCCTAGATTTACTGTGCGGTAAGCTATTGTACAGTAAAGGTGTTTGGTTAGGTGCCTACCAGTGCAGGGACTACACAGAAAATTTGCTGCCAGATCCTTACAGTCCTGCAATGTGCTTTGTTCAAGCCCACTCTGCTTCCCTGCACTATGGCTGCCCCCAACCCCTGGCCCTGGCAGTGATAAACAGCATCCCAGGATCCTGCTGGCCACCTTGATCACCCTGCTGTCCCACTGCACTGACTGTTGCCTGGACCACAGCCTGCTCGTTCCACCTGGCTCCCCCACAACCAGCCACTGTTACACATATTCCCAATTGCTCAAATCACAAAGGAGACCTTATAAAGGGGAATAAGGCAAGGTACCACATTTATTGATTACATGAGTTGGACATATAGGTTCGGACACACCATTCATACAAACACACACAAATCATCATACACATCAGGCACACACATACACAAAACAACCATTTCATCCACACAGACACCAAATATAGTTACCAGCAATAGTTGCTCAATATCAGCCCAGGGTGGCCAACCCAGGCTTATTGAGTAGATGATGATGATTTAAAGATAGCAGATTTGAAGATAATAGCTGGAGCAGGGTGAACAGATGCATCTGTGCTCTGATGAAACAACAGTAGAGAAAGAGACTCACCCAATTTGGCATTTTCAAAGTGTTCTTTCATAGGGATTGACACCCTTTGTTTAGGGCTTTGGGAGTTTTCCATACCCAGCTTCTGTTTTTGCAGTTTTTCTTCTTTTGTCTTCAGCTTATCTTAGCCTTGGTGTGTTGTTGTTGCCCGTCTGGCAGGATGGATACATTCCTTCTCTTCGTTATCTTCTTTGTGTCCTAGTCTTAAAAGGGATTCTTCAGCTATTCATTAATTAGTTTACTGACTGGTAACTTACATTTGGCGCCTTGTTGCCTACATAAACAGTTAAATCTTGTTCCGTCTCTATGCCATTCTTTCACCATTCACCCTTTTACACACACTCATACATAAGGGCTATCTAGAGTTCATTAACTTATATCAAGCAGAAGGATATAAAATGGAGTTTTTAAGTTGCTTATAGGACAAGACTAACATGGTTATATTTCACTATTATTACACTCTATGTTAACATCAGCTACATTAGTTCAGTTCACGCTGCACCACCACCTGACCACTGCAACACACCATCCCAGTGCTGCAGGCACCATGCAGATGCTGCCACTAGGGATGCCAACAAGCGGCTCCATGAGGCCACTGCCAGGGCCACCATCACCCTTCTGGGCCTCCAGCCCTGCTGCCTCTGGGCCCACCACACCAGCCAGCACTGGTGGCAGCACCTTGTCCAGCAGAACTTGGATGGCAAACAGTGGGCGGATGCCTTCCAGCTCACCTGGGCCACCTTTGGGGACCTGCTCCAGTAGCTCCAGTCCCATCTGGAGTGCCAGGACACTGGCATGCACCCGGCCCTCCTTGCTGGCACCTGCCTGGCCTTGGCACTGCTGAAGCTTGCTACGCGTGCCAGCCTCCAGTATGTGGGCCACCTGTTGGGCATGAGCAAGGCCACCATGGGGGAGACTGCCCTGGAAGTGCATGGGGCCCTCCAGGACATGCTGGCAGACACTGTCCTCCATATCCATAACCCCCAGGCGGTGGTGGCAAGATTCCCCCTGTGTATCAGGGCCCTGGACAAGACCTACATACTGGTCACCTGCCCACCCCATGGAGACCACCTCTATTATAGGTGTAGGAGATTCCACTCTATGGTCCTGCAGGTTCTCATGGACCACCGCAGCATGTTCATGCATGTGAGCACTAGATAGACAGGCAGTATGCACAATGCCCACATCTTCAGGAACTCTGCCTTGGTGGGACTGGTGGAGAGCAAGCTGGGGTTGCTGGACCTGCAGCTGGGTGGCATCATGGTCCCACCTCTTCTCACTGGGGACCCTGCCTAGCTGCTCCTGCCCTGGCTGATGAGGGACTACATTGGCCACCTGGATCCTTGCCAAGCCCACTTTAATTGCTGCCTGGGCAAGTCCTGCCCACTGCTCAAGTGGCTTTGGCTGCCTCAAGGGCCACTGGTACTCCCCCACTTCCCACTTTGAGGTTTCCAAGGAGAACCTCCCCAGGTCATCATCACAGCCTGTGTGCTGCACAGTATCCTCCACCCACCAGACCCATACATCATCTTCCCACTGCTCAGCCACTGCCACCAGCTGCTGGAGGAGGGTCCTGTCCTGTGTGCATCTCTGGTGTAACTGGCACATCCAGAGGGCCCCAACGCTGGGTGGTGGTATCCCTGAACTGGCATCCCTGCTGATCCCTGTGACCTGTCCCTTACATCCAGATGCTGGATGTGCAGAGCCAGGAGACAGAACCCTTTTGTAAGAGTTTGTAACATTTCAGAAATAAGTTACTCTGCTTCAGAGGCCATGCACTGTCCAGCCTCAGATTGAGGGTTGTCTGTGCACGGGTGCCCAGGGACCATGGTAAGGTGACCAGGCAGAACCGGGCCCAGGCATCCACCAGCTGAGCAAAATCCTTGGATGCAGGTGTCATGGCGTACATAGTTTTTCTGGACTTTAGGAAGGCCTTTGACATGGTCTCTCCCCCTATCCTCATTAAAAAATTAGGCGACTGTGGTGTTGATGCCTACATAGTCAGATGGGTCACAAATTGGCTAAAGGGCCACACCCAGACAGTGGTGGTGGATGGGTCTTTTTTAACCTGGAGGGATGTGGGCAACGGGGTCCTCCAGGGCTCATTCCTCACGCCTGCACTGTTCAACATCTTCATCAGCAACTTGGACAAGGGGGTGAAAAGCACCTTCTTCAAATTCATGGATGACACTAAGATGTGGGGAGAAGTGAGCATGCTGGAGGAGAGGGACAGGCTGCAACTAGATCTGGACAGGTTACAGGAGTGGGTGGATGAGAACAGGATGGGTTTCAATACTGACAAGTACAGGGTACTGCACCTAGGGAGGAAGAACCAGCAGTATACCTACAGGCTGGGGAACTCCCTTCCCATCAGCACAGAGGCAGAAAATGATCTTGGAGTCATTATTGATTCCAAAATGAACATGGGCCGCCAGTGTGAGGATGCGGTCAGTAAGGCTAACCGCACCTTGTCATGCATCCACAGATGCATCACAAGCAGGTCCAAGGAGGTGATCCTCCCCCTCTATGCAACACTGGTCAGGCTGCAGTTGGAGTACTATGCCCAGTTCTAGGTGCCATACTTCAGGAGGGATGTGGCTAGCATTGAGAGGCTCCAGAGGAGGGCCATTTGCATGATCAGGGGTCAGCAAGGCAGGCCCTACAAGCGGAGGCTACAGGACCTGAACCTGTTCAGCCTCCACAAGAGAAGGCTGAGAGGGGATCTGGTGGCCATCTATAAACTGGCCAAGGGGGACCAGCAGGCATTGGGAGAGTCCCTGTTCCCCCAAGCAGTACTGGGAGTAACGAGGAATAATGGCCATAAATTGACTGAGAGTAGATTCAGGCTAGATATCAGGAGACACTACTTCACAGTCAGGGTGGCTAGGATCTGGAACCAACTTCCAAGGGAAGTGGTGCTCACTTCTAGCCTGGGGGTCTTCAAAAGGAGGCTGGATGATCACTTAGCCAGGGTTGTTTGACCCCAGCATTCTTTCCTGCCCATGGCAAGGG